CCCTGCACTGTGAGCCTGCAGTGCCCAAACTGGCATCCGCTTCCTTCTTGCTGCATTGCAACCTCTGTGCTCTCTCCCCTTAGCGCCTTACAAAAGGCCCAGGTGGCATTAATTACTCTAAGGAGCTGGAGTGAGAACAGGGTGTTGCAACAGCTCTGAGTGGATCCAGGACCCTCAGAGAGCCAAGCCCAGGGCCTGGCTCTGGGTTGGGAGCCAGAAGCCAAGACAGTGGAGCCAGGCACAGCATATCCAGGACTCTGCGATAGCCAGGGGAAGCCGATCAGGCGAGCCAGAGTCCCTGAGCCCCAGAGGTGCAGAGCTGGTGGGGGCACACACTGGGCCAGAGGCAGTCTCAGGTCAGCTTGCCCACCCCTGTAAAAGGGGCACAGCAGCCCAATGCTGTGCGGAGGGGCTGGGGGAAGAAGTGCTAAAAACTAGCTTGGCTTGTAACAAGAGCGTATGTGGCTTAGGGCTGGCCTGGGGACCCAATTCCCAGCTCCATGCTGCCGCCCAGCCGCCTGGGCTCCAGCTTAAACCCTTCACCCCAAACCACCTGAAACAACTCAAAGAAAGCCAATGGTCAGAGCTGGGCTGAGACTCCACTGTCCACCGCCAGTCATGTGGTCATAAGTGTCTCAAGGGGTGATGCTGCCCCTCCACCCCCCCATGCTGCTGCCTGCACAGTCAGTCAGACTCAGCTGGGTCTGGGATGAGTGATACTGCGGGGAGCTACACAAGCAGGGAGGCGACTGGCTGCTGAGCTCTTCTCCTGCACTCTCAGAGCCACAGGCCAGGGAACAGCCTCATGCCCTCACTGACACATCTGTGCACATGGGTGTGAAACAAATCAGGGCTCCCTGCTTAGTCTCCAGGTTTCCCATCTGCTTGGCAGAGGTGTGAATGCCCACTCTCCCCCCCAGGGCAGCCACAGCAGCCAGGCTATGCAGCTGAGGAAGATGTGCACATGCAGTGGGCTGTGCAACACACAGGGAAGCATCGCGCCCAGGACAGAGCGATGAGGCCTGGCTAGCACCTCCCACGCTGGTGGGCCCCAATGCTCAAAGAGATTTCATTGAGGCCCTAACTTCCACTGAAATCAATGCCAGAAGGAGCCGGGCTGAGGGGCCTGGGCAGAGCCATCCCAGGGCCAGACTGGGAGCGCTGTACATAGGGGGCTCTCCTGAGCATGGATGGGAACAGACACTTAGAACTGAACTGCCCCACTCCAGACATGGTCGCAGGAGCTCTCTCCATCCCAGGCTGATCCAACCCCTCCCCCATGATCTGGATCCCAGTTCCACTGCTCGGGCCTCTCCACTCCAATTTGACTGACTCCTGTGCCTGCAGCGAGCACCACCCGCCTTGTCTCCTGCCTGAGTTTACCCAAGGGCAGGGGTCGTGTATCCATAAACCTTACTGATCATCCTGAATGTTCTGCTGCTGACAGGCCTTCCTGTCCCCTGCCGAGATGGGAATAAATCCTCATTACCAAAGGCCATAAATCCATCCAGTGCTTCTTGGGAGTGTAGCCAAAGATGCCACACGGTGGCCCGCAACTCTAGTGTGTCCCTAGCAGTACAGTTTATCGATGCGCCCTCGCCCAGCACCCACAAGGCAGCCCTGCCGTGCAACTGGCTCTCAGTTCTCTGGGCTCATTAGCCAGGAGGAGAAAGTTCAGGCTGAAGCAGAACTGCCACAAACAAAGGTGCTGGGCCTCTGCGCAGTTTTAGATGCCCAAGGGCGATGCACCAGGCACTGGGCCTCAACTCCATGCAGGCAGTTCCTGTCCTGTTCAAGCACAGGCAGAGCGATCACCCCCGGTGCCCACAGAACAATGGGGTGGTGTGCAGCAGGGAGCCCTCTTGGCTCAAATGATGCAGGGCATGTTAGTGGTAAAGACGGCCTGGTCAGAGAGGCAGTGCACTCTAGGAATGCTTTGTCCTGCCATCCGCATGCTACACACAGACAGGAACAAACTGAGCCTCACAGCCCCTTGGGTGAGGAGTCAAGATCATCGTCCCAGTGTTAGAGAAGAGCAAGCTGAGGTATCACGAGGATAAGAAACTGGGACAAGGCTGCCGGTAAGTGAGCAGCAATGGAACCCAAGAATCCTGCTCCTAGGCATGTCCTGTAGTAACCACCAACCATCTTCCTGTCTGAACAGCAGTGAGCATGAAGCAGAGTGAGTAGAAGCAATATTCAGTGTGATGCCGAGAGCTGCTGGCACTGGCCAGACACTGCTCCTTACGTAGTGGGGCTACACTGAGCCCCACCAGGACCAGGAGCCCAGGCAGTGCTCTATGGATTTGGTGTCTCATTTCCCTTCCCCGGCCAGGATGCCCACAGGTTTATGGGATGGCAGTTTTCCTGGGGAGAGAGAAATCACTCTTCTCCCTGCTGTTTTCCTCTTGATTGGTTTTGTGATGGAGGAGAGGCAGCTCCTGCCTCCCACAGGCATGCTCATTAGGATGTGGGCAGGAATGCCTCTCGCCTTGGCTCCCGGCCCAGCTCCTGCCTTTGCCACCTGAGCACCAGCCCCACTTATGTAAGCCCCAGGAAGAGGGACTCCACTAGGGTGGCTCTGAACAAGCAGCCTGCTTCAGTCTCTGACTGGCTGCCAACCCAGCCAACTCCACCAGGCAGCAGCAAGATGGCAACAGACATGGGGAGCCACGTGCACCCTAGTTTGGGGTGGAAACATGCATGTGTGCGTGCAGCTTTGCACATGGCTGCTTGCGTACGTTGTGCAGGTGTGTGTGCCACAATGTACTCATATGTACATTAACACGTGCAAGCATGTGCATATGAAGGTACAAGTTTACACATGTGTTTGTGTAAGCATGCAACTCTGAATGCACGTGTTTTTGCCAGGTTGCATGTGTGTGTACCTGTAAGTGTACATGCAGGAATGCACGTGCACGCAGATGTAAGCAGGCATGAGGGGGAGGTTGCTGCAGAGGCAGGGAGCGGTGGTACCCAGATGCCGGTGTGCAGGAGCACAGATGTGCATATCGCTCAACTCTGACTTACCCACAGCAGGTTGCTGTGGGTGTGGAACATCCCCCAGACCCTAGAGTGAACACAAAGCCAGGCCCCCATTAACTCAGCTGCTAGCGAGGGTGTGAGCAGGCTTGTAAGGGTTCCAGGGGAAGCTGTAACGCCCCCCACACACCAACACGTCACAAACTTGCAGCACCAAGCACCACCAGTCCATCCCTAAACACCCCCTGGGGACACAGCAAAGCAGGCGCCTCAGCCCTGATTCCCCTTTCCTTCAGGTGAGATCCCAGGAATGTTACAGCAGCCTGGCCTAATGGAACCAGCCCAGCTTTGCCTCCAGCTGGAAGCTTGGACAAATTCTGGCCCTACCTGTGCCTCAGACTGTAGAAAGGAAACCAACTCCCTCACAGGAGGGTTAAAGAGCTAATGCTCCGCAAAGGAAGTGCTGAATCAGGGCAGATGGCTGTGTGTGTGCGCATTTCCCCCCACCCCTGGCAGAGGCAGATAGCAGGGGATGCCACCACCACCACCCCCCTCCCCATGACAGATCACCTTCCCTACTGCTCCAGACAGCCTGCAAAACAGCCACTGCTCCCTCGGGGCTGGGTGTCACGTGTAGCTCTTTATATCTCACCACCACCCCCAGGTATTTTCCTCTCTCTCTCGCCAGTTTCTGAGGATCATCTCTACCCAGAGGTGCCACCCAATTCTCGGGTGAATGGGACCAGAGGAAACTCCTGGGGTTATGATCCGACTGCCCTGGTGGGGCAGCGATGCTGTTGTGTAGGGGGGGGAGGGGTGCAAGGCACCCACATGCATACAGAGAGGGGACTTGGTCAGCCCCATCTCTGCTCAGCCAAGGAGCCCTGATCACAGACCAACAGGCCGGTGCCCCGGAGCGCACAGGCGGGCTGTAAAACACCTTTGCTCAGGGCTGACTTAGTTACTACAGTTGGACCCACATCCACCTGGGAATTCCCCTTTCAAACCCAGAAATATCACTCTGGCCAAGGCGGTTTTATCAGGGAGCACAGAGAAAACAAGGAGAGTCCTTGTGGCACCATAGAGATTAACAAATGTATTTGGGCATAAACTTTCCTGGGATATAACCCACTTCATCAGAGAACAGAGAGAGCACAGAGAGAGGCTGCAGGAGCTGCCAGAGCAGGCAACGGATAGCCTGGACTCCTGGGTTTTCTCCCCAGCTCTGCCACTCACTCCCGCTGTGGCCCCGTGTGCCTTAATTCCCCCTCCCCTAGCAGGTGGTGAGGCGCGGCACAGAGGAGGTTTAGGATAGGGCTAGCGGCGGTCACAGCCAGCGCCTGTATGGAGCGGCGGGTCCGAGAGCCAAGCCCAGCTCCAAGCAGCAGGGAGGGCCTGGCCGCATGATTGGAGCCAGACGCTCCATTTTCCCGGGAATCACACAGGTGTCCAGTGCGTAGGAGGGAGCCGGACAGTAACCTCAGCCCGAGACTCTGCAAGCCACCCGCATACACGCAATGCCCCAGCGCTCCCAGCCGACAGGCTGCCAGGCATCCACCGGGGCCGACTCACAACACGGAGTGAATAACTCACGCCCCTGGGCCCAGATCGGCCACCCACAGGGCCACAGCCCCCTCCCGGGCTCGCCAGAGCAGCGGCCTCCCCACTCCTGAGAGCTTGGGGGGCCCAAAGTGATTTCCACAGTGCTAAGCCCAGGCTAGAGGGAGCAGGCTGGGACGCTGGATCAGCTCCTGCCCCGCCCCCGATCCGGGAAGCTCAGCGGACACGGGCCACCGAGAGGCACTTTCAGAAAGGTCGGCAGGTACCTAACGAGGCAGACCGTGCCATGGAGATGTACCAAAGCCCCCGGTTCCCAATCTCTGTGGGCCCAGGGCTTCCTTGGGCCCCACCCCGGGAGGAGCTGTGCGCCCTGGTCAGCCAAAGAGCCTAGAGGGGATCCCGGTTCGCCCTGCCCGGCGCAGGGAAGGGGACCCGCGGCGCGCCCCGCTCGGCCCCACCTGTGAAAGAAGAGCAGGATGGAGAGCAGGGTCTGGTCGATGTTGCTGTTGCAGATGCCCTGGTTGAGCAGGTAGCAGGGGTCCCGCACCACCGGCTCCAGCGAGTCCTGCCGCATGATGCTGCTCAGCTTGTCGGCGTTCAGGTTCTCGCACACTAGCTGCGCCCGCAGCTGCCGGAAGTTGCTCACCGTGGGGCTGCCCAGGTTGTTGTTCTCGCTCCCGGCCCCCTCCTCCAGGCCGCTGCGGTTGGCCAGGTCCAGGCAGCAGCTGCAGCAGTCCAGCCCCACGGGTGAGCGGCACTCCTCTGAGGCCATCGCGGGCACCCAGCCGGCCACGGCGCCGCGTTTTACCCACCGCCCGGAGCGGCTGCCTGGGCGCCCGAGCCCGCTGCGCTCCCCCAGCAGCTCCCCAGTGGCTGTGCGCTCCCAGCGCCGCCCAGCTGCTTCCCCGAGCGCCACGGGAGGAAAATAGCAACAGCTGCTGATCAGCGCCCGGCTCCGGCTCAGTCCAGTGCACACGCCCAGCCCCGCCGCTGGAGCGGCTCCTCCACCCGGGCAGCTGATTGGCGAAGGCGCCTCCAACCGGAGAGCCCCGCCCGGGAGTCCCGCTGGCTGGGCGCCCGGGAGCAGGGAAGGACAGCTCTCCCGGGGCACAGGGCAAGCCCTGCTCCGAGCCTCCCCGCACTACCCTGCCGACGAAGCGGGGCAGCGCCCCCTAGGGGTGGGCAACAGGCAGAGCGGTTCCGGGCTCCCTCGGCACACAGCACATATATGGGGCTGAGCTCTGCCGTCTGCTCGCCTCTCCTTGGCCGGGGCAGCCCCTCCCCCCGGGCAAACAGCCACCCTTGCCCGCCTGGCTCCGGTCTGGAGGAGGCAGGGCAGGTGGGCGAGCGAGCAGCCCCGAGTCTGCAGCCCCAGGCTGCGTGCTAGACATTCCGGGTGCTGCTGGAAGACACGGTCCCTCCTGCTCTGAACGGAGCCAGGCCGGCAGGTTGGCATGGTAGCAGAGAGGGGCCTATGGGACCCTCCCCCATGCCTGGCATCGACAGACTCCCGGCGGCGGCGAGTGCCACCACGTTCACTGTGCAGGGAAGTGACGGTAACAGCGCTGAGCGGGGTCTCTTCCCCAACCCCAGGCACAGATGGGGAGTTCACACTTCACATACAAACAGGCATACCCTCCCGGCATCCAGCCACTTCCCCGCCCCTCCCTGCCCGCTTGTAACCACCAGAGGAAAGAGAACTTGGCTGCAAGTGTGAAGTCACCGCCACACAGCGAGGCAGCGACCGAGAATGGAGAACTGCAGGGCTTAGAGGGCAGCTACTTCTGTCATACCACAAGGGTGCCCAAGATAGATCCTGGAACCCCCTAGGCAGACAAGCAATCCTTGGTGACTCTGTGTTAAGAAGAATGGACAGAGAATTCAGCAAGAGACACAAGGACAGCAGCAGGATGTGCTGTTCCCTGGAGTAAAGACACAAGAGGTCACTGCAAGATTGGGTGGGTTTCTGCAAGTGGCTGGCAAGTGATGCACATTAGAACCAGCAAGAGGGCATCACAGGGAACTCCACAGATATCAAAGACTGCAGGAATCCCAAAGGAGAGCTGAAGAAGAGGAAAGTCCAAGTGATCCTGGTCATTCTTCTGATCCCAGGAGCAGAAGGCAGAACATGCTGGAGGTGAACCACTGGCCATGAGGCTGCTGTGAAGGTGAAAGTTCTGGTTTTGTGGAACACTGGGGCATATTCCAGTGGGACGGGGCTGAACGAACAGGACCGCCTGCATCTCAGAAGGGGGTGTATGTAATCTTCTGTCTGGAGACTAGCTGGGGGGTGTTAAACTAACAATGTAATAGAAGGAGGCTAAGGGGGCAAATGCGGAACAAATGCAACTCAAACTCAGGGTGTTGTGAACATACTGAACATCGTTTAATTGCTTATATACAGTGATAAGAGTCTAGGTAACAGGTAAGAATAATTGGAAATTATCATTGCTGAGGGAAAATGGCTATAATTGACATTATTGAAAAGCCAGGATTGGAATGACCACTGAATCTAACTAAAGGACCGGATGTGTTGTTCCTTAAGCACCAATCTGTAATGCATGGGTTGGAAATTTTGTTATCATGGATGATTCCAATCTGGGAGACATGCTGGAGGTCTCACTGCCAGTAGTAAAACATCATTGGAGTTTCTAAAAATTAGAGATGATTTTCTAACACCAAACTCATTGCACCCAACATGGGGTAACTCCATAGGACCTCACTATGGGTATGTCTACACTAAGGGATTAATTCAAATTTACAGAATTCGATTTTTGGAAACAGATTGTATAAAGTCGAATGTAGGCAGCCACACTAAGCACATTAATTCAACGGTGTGCGTCCATGTACCGGGGCTAGCATCAATTTCCGGAGCGTTGCACTGTGGGTAGTTATCCCATAGATATCCCATAGTTCCCGCAGTCTCCCCCACCCATTGGAATTCTGGGTTGAGATCCCAGTGCCTGATGGGGCAAAAAACATTGTCGGAGGTTGTTCTGGGTACAACCTCACCCCTCCCTCCATGAAAGCAATGGCAGACAACCATTTCGCGCCTTTTTTCCTGAGTGAACACAGCAGACGCCATACCATGGCAAGCATGGAGCCCGCTCAGCTCAAGACAGCAGTCATGAACATTGTAAACACCACACGCATTATCATGCAGTTTATGCTGAACCAGGACCAGAAAAGCGAGGCGAGGAGGCAGCGATGGCAGAGCGGCAACGAGAGTGATGAGGACATGGACATGGACACAGACTTCTCTCAAACCGTGGGTCCCGGCGCTTTGGAGATCATGTTGTTGATGGAGCAGGTTCTATCCGTGGAACGCCAATTCTGGGCCCGGGAAACAAGCACAGACTGGTGGGACGGCATAGTGTTGCAGGTGTGGGATGATTCCCAGTGGCTGCGAAACTTTCGCATGCGTAAGGGCACTTTCATGGAACTTTGTGACTTGCTTTCCCCTGCCCTGAAGCACCAGAATACCAGGATGAGAGCAGCCCTCACAGTTGAGAAGCAAGTGGCGATAGCCCTGTGGAAGCTTGCAACGCCAGACAGCTACCGGTCAGTCGGGAATCAATTTGGAGTGGGCAAATGTACTGTGGGGGCTGCTGTGATGCAAGTAGCCAAAATAATCATTGAGCTGCTGCTACGAAAGGTAATAACTCTGGGAAATGTGCAGGCCATAGTTGGTGGCTTTGCTGCAATGGGATTCCCTAACTGTGGTGGGGCGATAGATGGAATCCATATACCTATCTTGGCACCGGAGCACCAGGGTACCCAGTACATAAACCGCAAGGGTTAATTTTCAGTGGTGCTGCAAGCACTGGTGGATCACAGGGGACGTTTCACCAACATCAACGTGGGCTAGCCAGGAAGGGTTCATAACACTCGTGTCTTCAGGAACACTACTCTGTTTAAACGGCTGCAGCAAGGGACTTACTTCCCAGACCAGAAAATAACCGTTGGGGATGTTGAAATGCCAATAGTTATTCTTGGGGACCCAGCCTAACCCTTAATACTATGGCTCATGAAGCCATACACAGGCAGCCTGGACAGGAGTCAGGAGCTATTCAACTACAGGCTGAGCAAGTGCAGAATGGTGGTGGAATGTGCATTTGGCCGTTTAAAAGGTCGCTGGCGCACTTTACTGTCTCGCTCAGACCTCAGCCAAACCAATATCCCCATTGTTATTGCTGCTTGCTGTGTGCTCCACAATCTCTGTGAGAGTAAGGGGGAGACCTTTATGGCGGGGTGGGAGGCTGAGGCAAATCGCCTGGCTGCTGATTACGTGCAGCCAGACACCAGGGCGGTTAGAAGAGCACACCAGGAAGCGCGGCGCATCAGAGAAGCTTTGAAAACCAGTTTCATGACTGCCCAGGCTACCGTGTGAAAGTTCTGTTTGTTTCTCCTTGATGAAAACCCGCCCCCTTTATTGACTCATTCTCTGTAGGCAACCCACCCTCCCCCTTCGATCACAGCTTGCTTTCAAAGGAAATAAAGTCACTATAGTTTAAAAATAATTTATTCTTTATTAATGGATTATAAAAAGAGGGAGAGAACTGAGAAGGTAGCCTGGGTGGGGTTTGGGAGGAGGATTGGAGGGAAGGAAAAGACCACTAAAAAAGGTTAAAATAATGAAAGTCTTTTGCTTGGGCTGTCCACTGGGGTGGAATGGGAGGGTGTACGGAGGCTATGGAACATGGGGAGGGGGGATTATACAGGGGCTGCAGCGGCAGTCTGTGATCCTGCTGCCATTCCTGAAGCTCCACCAGATGCCAGAGCATGTCTGTTTGCTCACGCAGCAGCCCCAGCGTTGTATCCTGCCTCCTCTGATCTTCCTGCCCCACCTCTCATCTCAAGCGTCTCTTCTCTCCTCACGTTGGTCCCTCCTGTCCTCACGTTCACTGGCATCTTTCCTATACTTTGAAACCATGTCCTTCCACTCATTCAGATGAGCTCTTTCATTGCGGGTGGATTCCATGATTTCCGTGAACATCTCGTCTCACGTCCTCTTTTTCCGACGCCTTATCTGAGATAGCCTTCGGGACAGAGGAGGGAGGCTTGAAAAATTTGCAGCTGCTGGAGGGAGGGAAAAAAGGAGAGAATTTTTTAAAAAGACACATTTTACAGAACAATGCTTGTACTCTTTCACGGTGAACAACACTATTCACATTACATAGCACATGTGATTTCTGTGCAAGGTCGCATTTTGCCTCTTAATATGGAGTGCCTGTGGCTTTGCTGCTAGAGATCACAGACACAGGTCCAGGCAACAGAATTTGTCTTGCATGCGGCCATGGTAAGCCATTGTCTTTCGGCTTCTGCGCCCTCCTTTCCCACATACCAAGCAAAGCTCATTGAGTGCTGCGGTTTTCCTGTTAACCTTCAGCAGCAGAAACCAAACCTAACCCCCCCCCACTCCAATTCTCTGGGATGATCGCTTTATCCCTCCTCCCACCATGTGGCTGGTATCAGGGAAGATCCCTGCTACCCACACGTGAAAAGCTCAGCGCCAATTCTCCTCCCCCGCCCCCCTGCACTTGGCTAACTGCAGGGAAGGATTTCTTTTCAGCCACAGGCAAACAACC